CCCCAAAACCCCAAAACCCCAAAACCCCGATAAAGACTAGATGTATTGTGAAAAAATAAACTTAAAACAATATGGGAAATTATTCGAGCAAAGAAGAATCTAAGGAAATTCCAACGGAAGAACGAGAGATCAGTGTTGATGCTTCAGACACTAACGAGGGAGAGAAGCAATCATCAATATTTTATAAAAACCAGATGATTGACATATTCTGTGCGATTGTGTCCCAAACTAGACAAAAAGAAATATCTCAGGAAAACATTTCTTCTTGCACAAGTGTACTAAACTTCGATTTTGGAGAACTTATTTGATCTAGTGTTGTAAAAACGACTCAACGATTGAGATGTGAAGTAGTTTGGAGAATCCTTGTGGAAAGATATGTTGACCCTGAAGGGAACAAATTATTCCCATTGTATTATTCTTTGAATACTTCTCTTAAGAAAGAAAGTATGGTCAACTTAGCAATTAAACACAACTTATCTAGCCTCATTCTCAAGATGGTTGAAGATCATCCTCAAGAAATGGTTCAGGTGTATAATTCAAATAAAACTTCCTCAATGCTGCATGACTTAGCTTCGATAGGTACATTATTTACACAAGATGAAATCGACCTTGCACAGTGGTTGATAAAGAAGACAGATAAATTTTCAAAGAATATATTTGGACAGACATTTCTTGAAACAGCCATCCACAGCAAATCCCCCAACTTTGACTTGCTAGCTCAGCTACTTCGCAAAAGAAATAGCAAACCTTATATTCTTCGTGAACTTAAAAAGACTTCATTGCGAGAGAATCTCTACCGAAATGTCCTAAAGCATTGTCCTTATGTGCCAGAGAAGTTAATCAGGATGAGATATTACTACAAGACGAAGCAGAATTGTACTCTTAACTCATTCGAATCTTCAGATGGTGTAAAATTTTGATACACAGAGTCCTTACTGGTCTCTCATACTAAGTTTTAAACTATATCCATTCACTTAATCCAAATGCTGTAGGCTTAAGTATTTCCCAGAAATTTTAGATGTGACCAGTCAATTTAGCCAATAATGGCGACACTTAACTTTAGAAAACCCAATGTAATGGGCAAACTTTAGATTATCTTGGAACTTACTTTAGATATTGATAAATATAGTTCTGCTTACTTTAGCCAAAGAAGTAACACTAGATTTACTAACAAAGCTAAATTCGAATCCAAAATATGTATCCTGAATATTAGGAACAAAAATTTAGAGAAAGGGGTTTTGGGGTTTTGGGGTTTTGGGG